CACCACGCCCAGCTAATTTTTGTATTTTTAGTAGAGAGGGGGTTTCGCTGTGTTGGCCAGGCTGGTCTCGAACTCCTGACCCCAGTTGATCCACCTGCATTGGCCTCCCAAAGTGCTGGGATCAGAGGTGTGAGCCATTGTGCCCAGACTGTTTTTCTTAATTTCTATACCACTATCTTTCCTGGATCTCTTTTAAATTCCCTGAGAGGACCGAATCGGTTGTTCCATTGCCATTTAGTAGGAAGCAGCCCTGCGGGATGAGCTGTCAGGCCACGTCACCTAGGGGGTTCCAGCCGCGGTTTATGATTGAATCCTCCCACTAGATTCCACTATCATTAGCTTCACTGATAGCAATGAGTGTGGGTCTGTTTTGTAGAAATGAATTTTATTTAATTTGGATCTTTTAGATATTTTACTCAAAATTGCAGTGAAAATGAAAGCAACAGAAAATATTTTCAAACTGAAACACTCAGCCATCAGCTATTGTGGATACTGTCGAGAGGAAAAACAGCCAATGCCAGTCAGCATCTGGTAAAAGAGGTTCTCTAGCTCGGCCCAATGCCTTTGTTTTCTTGGGAAGAGGCTGTCTCCCATTTTTCAGGCAACCTTCTCATCTTTTCTCATCTCTTCTCTCAATAGACCACAAGAGGGCAGTGTTTTACCATATTCTCCTTGAATGATATAATACCAACAGTGGGACCAGATGACTTCCAGAAGTAGAAATTGACTATTATGCCAAAATTGTTCACCAAAGTTGATAAAACTCTAGGTTTACAATTGTGCCCCAAAAGTCATGGGACTGGACCCCATCGGTTTAGCATAAGTCATCAGTTTAGCAATGATACAGAAAATAACCTGAAAGTTTGAATAGATCAGAAATGAAGTACTTTTTGTGGAAGGCTGTTTTTAAGCATTAAAGGTACTAGTTCCTTTCTTGAATTCACATTGCAGATGTGCATTGTGGATTTATGGGTTTATCTCTGCAAACCTTAAAGTAGAAGATTGCAAGGGCCAGGTGCAGTGGCTCATGCCTATAATCCCAGCACTTTGGGAGGCTGAGGCAGGCAGATCTCCTGAGATCAGGAGTTCAAGACCAGCCTGGCCAATATGGCAAAACCCTGAATCTACTAAAAATACAAAAATTAGCCAGGTGTGGTTGTAGGCACCTGTAATCCCAGCTTGTAGCAAGGCTGAGGCAGGAGAATCACTGGAACCTGGGAGGCAGAGGTTGCAGTGAGCCAAGATCACACCACTGCACTCCAGCCTGGGCAACAGAGCAAGACTGTTTCAAATATACATATATATATATATATATATATATATATATATATATTTTTTTTTTTTAAATAAAAAAAAGTAGAAGATTGCAGTAAAGAAAAGATTGATTAGCTCTTCCTTTCTTTTTTTTTTTTTGAGACGGAGTTTCACTCTTGTTACCCGGGCTGGAGTGCAATGGCGCGATCTCGGCTCACCGCAACCTCTGCCTCCTGGGTTCAGGCAATTCTCCTGCCTCAACCTCCTGAGTATCTGGGATTACAGGCACGCACCACCATGCCCAGCTAATGTTTTGTAGTTTTGGTAGAGATGGGGTTTCACCATGTTGACCAGAATGGTCTCGATCTCTTGACCTCGTGATCTACCCGCCTCGGCCTCCCAAAGTGCTGGGATTACAGGCGTGAGCCACTGCAACCGGCAGCTCTTCCTTTCAAGGTATCTATATGTACTGTATACAAACAATGAAAGTTGAAGAGTGATATTCACGTAAGGCATATTGATCACTGCATTGTAATTGAAAGCAAGAAATATCATCAACAAGCATTAGATTACTAACTGCCAAACAAGTTAAGTCCCTTAAGGCAGATAGATTCAGTCTTTTCTTTCTCTGAGCAATTCCCTTCTGCCATAAACTCCAGAGAGGTGATGAATAGAAACAGAACATTGGAGAGTTGAATGATACCTAGCCAGACTTTGCCTTAAAACTTTAGCCCTAAAAAGAGAATTAAATTGTGTAGATGCCTTTAAAGAACATTTTGTAGCTTCTTTCTACATCTTTCCCTAAGTGGCCTCTTGAGCCAAGTCGGATTTTAGTTATATGCCATGATAGTAATCATAACAATCAGTGACATTCAATAATAAAATGATCCAAAAATGCATGAATATAGTCGATTCCCTCTCCTATTTATACCTTGTGGGAAAAAAAAAACCCCAAATCTTAAAAACTAAAGTGAGTCAGGGAAGCTTGGAAAGATACCCAGATCTGATAACATATTATGAGGAGATCCAGTCTTAGGAAACTTATTTTCTGGCTTTGATCTGGTTGTCAGTTGGTATGGACTTGCCTAAGTGATGGCCCACAGAAAGGCCAAATTTCTTGTTTTTCTCCTCATTCTGCACCTCTTTTTTCATTAAGAATCCTGCCTGGAAGTTTAGATCAAAGAGGCTGCTTGGAGCAAAATACAGTGGTGTCTCATCCCAAATATTCTCCAGGCGTTTCTTCCATCCTTCCAGGATCTGAATTTGGGTGTCTGCTGGAGTGTGCCCAATGCTGTATGTCAGTTGAGGTTCTAAGACTTGGAAGCCACAGAAATGCAGAATGCCACTCTGGGGATACAGAAAGCACAGAGAGGTAAGTCAACGAATTCCATGCAGTTGTACTATAAACAACAGAAGCTGGTCTGGGCTGCCCAGTAAGACACTCTGATAGGGAGGCCTCAGACACCCAGCGAATCATTTCGGAGCCACGGTCTCTGCCTACCCTCTACCTAGCTGTTACCAACTTTAGCCTTTTCAGCTGTTTTTAGCCTTTTCAAGGGTTTAAATGTATAAACCATTGAAACTGTGCCAACCTGAATCCTTTGCCAAGAAGGCTGGAAATTCTATTACTTTAGGGAGTCTCAGTTTCTTGGCAGGTGACTCTTGCCAACGCATGTGTGTGCATTTCTCTGCCTTGCCATATAACCAGATGAGTCTTGCTTTTTTTTTTTTTGAGATAGAGTCTCGCTTACAGGCTGGAGTGCTGTGGCATGATCTCGGCTCACTGCAGCTTCCACCACCCAGGTTCAGGCGATTCTCATGCCTCAGCCTCCTGAGTAACTGGTTCTACAGGCATGTGCCACCATGCCCAGCTAATTTTTGTAACTTCAGTAGAGACAGAGTGTCACCATGCTGGCCAGGCTGGTCTCCCAAAGTGCAGGGATTACAGGCCCAGTTGAGTCTTGATAAATGATTTTCATACATGGCCACTCATGGGCCACTCTCCAACCACCCTCTTTACAGAAATTATCCCGAGGGTCTGGTGACACCAATAAGCCCACCCCGGCTTCAGTTTTAGCCATGTCTAAACAGGCTGGACTAAATAATTTCTGTTTTCTTCGAAACAGGGTTTCGCCCTGTGTCCCAGGCTGGAATGCAGTGGTGTGATCATAGCTCACTACAGCCTCGAACTCCTGGGTCTCTCGCCTTAGCCTCCCAAGTAGCTGGAACACAGGTGTGTGCCATTACACCCAGCTAATTTTTTTTTTTTTTTTTTTTGTACGTTGCCCAGGCTGGTCTCAAACTCCTGGGCTCAAGTGATCCTTCTGACTCAGCCTCCCAATAAATCATTTCTTAAATTGTCTTCGGATCTAATAGTCTATGGGACTGTATCAGCAACTTGGAGAAGGACAGGAAGGCTGGAGGGAGATGTCAGGTCATCTGGCGAGACCAGGGCCCACGGCTGTACAAATCGAGGGTAGAAGTCCACACTCATCCTTGGCTGGGAGAGAATGCAGAGAATGCTGTTTTCACATGCACACATGTGGGCGTTTTCTACATGCATAGGCACCCAGGAAGGCAGGCAAGCTGCTAAAGGAAGCTCCCGTAGTTCGGAATCATGATGATGCTTCCATCTTCACAACTCAAGGTCTGTTTTCAGCTGCTATCTTGATGCTTTGAACCCCACAGAAGGCTCAGTTCATGAATTCCCCTGAAGGTTCATTGAAAATGAGGTACCTGGCTGGGCGCAGTGGCTCACCCCTGTAAACCCAGCACTTTGGGAGGCTGAGGCGGGAGGATCATTTGACATCAGGAGTTTGAGACCAGCCTGGCCTACGTGGTGAAACCCCGTCTCTACTAAAAATATAAAAATTAGCCGAGCATGGTGACAGGTCCCTGTAATCGCAGCTACTCAGTAGGCTGACGCAGGAGAATTGCTTTAACCCAGCAGGCGGAGGTGGCAGTGAGCCAAGATGGTGCCACTGTACTCCGGCCTGGGCAACAGAGCGATTCCATCTCAAAGAAAAAAGAAAAAGAAAAGAAAATGAGGTACCTGAATTGGCCAGAGAATGACATTCATGTCCCCATGGACCCCTTGCAGAGAGTACATGGAGCTGCTGCCACCAGTGGTGATGGAAAGCACTGCCTTCTTACTCTGCAAAAGAAAAAACAACACACTTCATTCCCCCCACATCCCCTTGGTGACAAGAAGTTAATGAAACAGCTCCAGGGAAAAGAACACACAAGTCCCTCCTATTTGCTGTTTATATTACTTCATACTTTGGCTCCTCGGAGCTACACAGTATGACTCTGCAGAAGTACCAGCCTAGACCGTCTACAGACAGGTGGCCTGGGGCAAACCAAGGATTCCAAACCCGCACGTGTGGCTCAGGGCAAGGCTGTCACCACATCCAAAATGAATGCTGGCTGTGCTGCCTAGATGGAGTGATTGATGGTTCTTACCCATCCTCCCACGTGCTAGGCATGGCATAGGACAAGCTCTTTCTTTTTTTTTTTTTTGAGACAGAGTCTTGATTTGGCACCAGGCGCCAGGCTGGAGTGCAGTGGCGCAATCTCAGCTCACTGCAATCTCTGCCTCCTGGGTTCAAGCAATTCTCCTGCCTCAGCCTCCCGAGTAGCTAGGGTTATAGGCGCCCACCACTATGCCCAGCTAATTTTTGTATTTTTAGTAGAGACTGGGTTTCGACATGTTAGCCAGGCTGACCTCAAGTGATCTGCCTGCCTCGGCCTCCCAAATTGCTGAGATTACAGGTGTGAGCCACCACACTCAGCCTCTGGAGCATTTTAAAACAAATCCCAAACATCATGTCATTCCATCTGTAAAAACTTGATCATGCATTTCTCCCAAAGGTCCCAGGGCCTCAGCTTAGGATCTAATTGTGCTCAAAATCCTGCATCAGGACAGACTCCACCCAGAAGCCAGTCAGAGCATTCCAAACTGTCCACCTACCCGGAAGGGTCCTTTGTCGTACATGGCAGCGTATGTGTAAGCAAACTCTCCTATGAACACTCGCTCAAACCAGCCTTTCAGAATGGCAGGGACTCCAAACCACTGCAGGGGGAACTGCGGGACAGAAGACATCATCGAGGTCAGACCAGAGGCTCCCCCAGCCCAGAAGGCAGCTGGGTTGCTGAGCTGCTGTCCATGATGGCAATGAGGGGAGCCCCTCAGCCTTTCCCATTCCTCCTGGAAGTGTTAGCACTTTAAGGAAAGAGATCATTATTGTCCTTGGTCAGCCAACTTGACAGTCTTCTTTTGGCCTGAAAATGCAAATATCGAGTGGGCCCCAAGCAAAGCTACATACACAGATGACTTGTTTATATGAAATTCGTTTGTATGAAGTCACATTTGGCAGCAAAGTCTAAATAGCAAGGATTGTAAACAAGGTTTGCCTCAGGGTGTGATGCCTCAATCAGTATTTTCCCAAGAGTTTGCTTTAGTAGGTGTGGAATCAACAATGTGACTGTTGGCCGGGCACAGTGGCTCATGCCTGTAATCCCAGCACTTTGGGAGGCTGAGGCAGGGAGATCACCTGAGGTCAGGAGCTTGAGACCAGCCTGGCCAACATGGAGAAACCCCATCTCTACTAAAAATACAAAAATTAGCTGAGTGTGGTGGCATGTGCCTGTAGTCCCAGCTACTTGGGGGTCTCAGACAGGAGAATCGCTTAAATCCAGGAGGCAAAGGTTGCAGTGAGCCGAGATCACACAATTGCTCTCCAGCCTGGGCAACAGAGCAAGACTCTGCCTCAAAAATTAAATAAATAAATAAAAATTCAAAAATAAAAATAATAATAAATAATAATTAGTGTGACTAAGGTTTATCAGGGACTTTCCATGAGAAACTCTTGTCTGACCTCTTATCCTAATAAAAGCAGAGTAAGGACTACCCCAGGGGTTCTTATCCTTGATTCACGATATAAAGATATGACAGGCACATGCCTATAATCCTAGCACTTTGGGAGGCTGAGGCAGGTGGATCACTTGAGCCCAAGAGTTTGAGACCAGCCTGGGCAGCATGGTGGGACCCCATCTGTACAAAAAATAAAAAATTAGCAGGGCATGGTGGGGTGCGCCGATAGTCCCAGCTATTCAGGAAACTGAGGTGGGAGGATCACTTGAGCCCAGGAGGTTGAGGCAGCAGTGGGCGGAGATCACACCACTGTGCTCCAGCCTGACTGACGGTGAGAACTTGTGTCCAATTTTTTTAAAAAATTCTTTGTTAAAGGCATCCTTTGGGGTACTGGCTAGTGGCATGTGGCTTTGAAGATTCATGTGCTTCCTAGCAACAGGCCTGAGGGTTGAAGAAAGGATTTCAAGGATTGGATGCTTTGTAGCTGATTGAATAAGAACAACAGTAAGAAAACACCGCAGCAGGCCGGGCGCAGTGGCTCAAGCCTGTAATCCCAGCACTTTGGGAGGCCGAGGCGGGTGGATCACGAGGTCAAGAGATCGAGACCACCCTGGTCAACATGGTGAAACCCCGTCTCTACTAAAACTACAAAAAATTAGCTGGGCATGGTGGCGCGTGCCTGTAGTCCCAGCTACTCAGGAGGCTGAGGCAGAAGAATTGCTTGAACCCAGGAGGCGGAGGTTGCGGTGAGCCGAGATCGCGCCATTGCACTCCAGCCTGGGTAACAAGAGCGAAACTCTGTCTCAAAAAAAAAAAAAGAAAACACCGCAGCCTGTACCACCCTCCTCGTGGTTTCCAGCATCATATACATTCTATGTTCAATATCCAAAGACTGGCTGGAATTGGCAAAAGCAATGTCATCGAGTACAGTCACATTTATGGGAAACATCACTGACGAGATGCCCACACAATCCCAGCATTGTCTGCTAAACGGTAAGGCAGCTTCCCGAAGAAGAAAGGCCATGGATTGCTGCAGAAACACATTCAGCAGGGTTTCAAAGCCCCCTTCAGCTGGCAGGCTACGATGGCAGGGAAGTCAACGTCTCATGCATCATTCTACAAAGGATTTGGGATTCTTATGGAGAAAGGAGGAAAACAGCGAATGTTGAGAGAGTGGAGACGAGGTATGTGGGAGAAAGCAAGTTCAAGGGTGGAACATCATCTTTGCAGCTGCATTTCTATACGTAACCGTAATACAACCAGATTCCCAGTATCTGTGAAATCCATGTAATACTGCACCTTTCAAGCAATCACCCTTATTTGTAAAGAATACAGTCGAGTGGCTGACTGTTCTAAGATCCCATAGCTAATTAGGTGACAGGTGTAGGACAATAAGCAGGCAAGTGTCCCTGACACCCCTTCTGATGTCCTCCCCATACCTGGAATATCACAAGGTCTGCGGCTTCCAGCTTCTTTTGTTCAGCCACAACATCCGGGCTCAGACGGCCTTCTTTATAAGCCAGAGTAGCTTCAGCAGCATACTGAAAGTTCTCAGGGTCCTTCAGTTTACCTGCAGAGAAGAAAAAGAGAGGCTGGGGCCAGCGGGGCCGAGGCTGGGCCAGAGGACCCACAGGCAAGGAGATCCACAAAGAACTGATTAAAGAGGGGAGGAGGAGCTCCTACCTGTGAAGTCCTTTCTGGAAATGATGGGATTGAAGTTCATGGCATAGAGGTCTGACTCGGCCACCTCCCATCCTTTCTTCTTCAAAGCCACTGCAGCAGCCTCCTTCATGGCATAGTTGAAGGACGTCCTCTCTGAGTGAGCCAGGACGATCAGTGCTTTTCTGCCTACCGAGACACACAAAGCACACGGGGAAAACCCATTACCAACCAGCAAAACTTCAGCTACAGGGGAGCCGCAGTCTGTAAAGGAAGGGGCAGCTTTGTTAAACGTTAGGTTATTGCAATCCATCCTCCGCTGCCAGAAATATATTTTCCCCTTAAAAGTGCCGAAGATTAAAGGAAGCATTTAAATCAGTGGCTGATTTAATAAACGGTGTTGATGGCTGAGCGCCATGTCTCACACCTGTAATCCCAACACTTTGGGAGGTCAAGGTGAGCGGATCACCTGAGGTCAGGAGTTCAAGACCAGCCTGGGCAACATGGCGAAACCCTATCTCTACAAAAAAATACAAAAAACTAGCTGGGCTGGTGACTCACACCTGTAATCTCAGGTATTGGGGAGGCTGAAGTGGGAGGACTGCTTGAGCCTGGGAGTTCGAGGCTGCAGGGAGCTATGATTGAACCACTGAGTGACAGAGCGAGAACCTGTCTCTAAAAAATGAACTGTGCAGTTTTTAGAGTGTTTATTGTCACCAACAAAGTTTTTGGTTTTAATTACCCCATTAACACATCACATGCAGTCATAATTTCCAGTAGATCAAAGATCAAAATTTTTTAAATGTAACTATTTAAATAATAAAGAAGGAACAGTAGAATTTGTATAACCTCAGGGTAGAGAGTCCTTTATAAAAAAAAAAAAATTAAGCCGGGCGCGGTGGCTCACGCCTGTAATCCCAGCACTTTGGGGGGCCGAGGCGGGTGGATCACGAGGTCAAGAGATCGAGACCATCCTGGTCAACATGGTGAAACCCCGTCTCTACTAAAAATACA